CTTCCTTATGATTTAGGCGCAAGGACATATAAAGGTAAAGGTTCATTTCGTTAAAGACCCATTCAACAAACAACATGAAACATAAATCAAACATTTAGGTTAAAGATGTATTGTCCCTTGCTAATGTCAAAAGACTATAAATACTAATTTTGAAATAAACTTGCTCATTGCAATAGCATAAAAATTATTAACTTGTGCTTAAAAATTATTGAATTTAAAAAATATGTACCCTGATTTTTAAACCAAAAAAAATATAATAAAAATAATAAAACACTTCCAGTGACGGGAAGTGTTTCTATCATTTTTCGCTGTAAACTGATGGGTAGACGTTTTTTAAATACACTAATTTCTAATTTCAATTGATAAAATTTATGTTACTTCAAAATGGGCAAGTTAATTTTTTTTTAAATATATATTTTTATGATTTTTTTGGTATTTAGCAAGGGACACTACATCTTTAATTTAGGTTAAACTTTCCGCTTCTGAGCATGCATATAACATAATTTTTTAGATATATGTTATTTTCATGACAATCGCGAATGTATTGATTATATACTGTAAATTGCAGATAATTTATGTTGTCCGATTGTAAGCATTGAAAATGTGACGACGAACTTGGGATACAGACCTCGGTTGACACTCATATCAAAGGGCCTGTTAATTAACCTTGCACTGGAGCCTGTCGTCACATGCTACGATGCCTTCTCCTCCGCCTCCTCCTCCTGTTCCTCCTTATCATCATCACATCAACATCATACCATCATCATCATCTTCATCATCGCAATTGTTAATTGTCCATGGTAAAATAGGGACTATTAATTTAGTGTATTCATTCATCAATGAAAGTCTCGTAATGCACGTCAGTACATTTCCCAGCATCTAGAAAAAACTAAACTTTCCGAAGTTGGGAGAACCCTGAGACTACCGCAAACCCCCCTCCCCCTCCCCACGTCTAAAATAGTCTTCCAACGACGGAACAAGCGAAACATTACGTTCACTTACCATGACCCCGCCCACTGAGGGACCCCATTATGCGTGACAGTCAGGGCGAGGCTCGGTTTCCATAATCGCTCACCCTATCCGCGACAGTCGCCGACAATTGTCAGGAAGGTTGAACATTTTTAAACTTTTCCGATTGCGTTGCAGACGCAAACGAATCAGGGTGCATTGCTAGCTGCCCCGCGCAATCGTGAAGGCACCCCGATTCGTCTGTGAACCACAACTGTCACGACTGTCGCCGATAGGGTGAGTGATTCTATGGAAACACAGCTAAAACTCTGGATCCGCTCCTGAGAGGTCCCTATTCTCAAAAATTTCTATTCCCTAAGCCCTCGACATGGTGGGGGCAGTGAAGTGGACCCTCAGGCACCCCCTACCGCCAAATTCCTTATCCGCCCCAGGATCCTGGGCCCTCTTAAATTTGTTAAAATAAAAAAAAGGAGATAAAAAGAAATTTACTATCGGCCATGGCATTCTAATTTGTCAAATTTTTAAAATAATGCATCTGTACCATAAAAAGAAAATGTTCTTGTTTCATCGTTAAAACATTTAGAATATAATGACAAACATGTTTTAAAAAACGAGCAGAACTAATATCCCACAATGGAATTTGCGACAGTAACCCAAAAGGAACCCCCTGTTTCCACCAAGTCACCCCCTTCCCCGCTGGTGCCACCCTTGCTTTAATTTCTGTAATTCTAATTAAAACACATAGCATCGACAGTCACACCTGACCGTAAGTAATTTACACCAAAAACCCAAATGAATTAATCTGTCATTTATTAACCAAAATGACGAAAAGAAACGTATTTGGCGATATACTTTTAGCTCACCAATGGTCATATTATATTTAACTTTATGTGTATTAAACCTTACTTTACAAAAATTACAAAACTAGCTAACTAATCAATTCGGCCGTATATTATGTTCAATTTCTACCTTCTTTCTTATAAGCTAAAAATACAATCGATTTATTGATATCCAATCCAACTAAAAGTCCATTAGTTTCTACACGTTTTTAATAATTTGCAATTAAAAAGTTGGCAATGTAAGTCAAAATCCTCGACATTACATGCATAATGCACAATATTATACTTCATTACTCTAAAAAAATAAAAAAATAAAATAAAATAAAACTAAACACTTGAATTCTGAAATGTACAAGGTAAACTACTTGACATGATGCTGCAATGTCTTCGAGAAAATTTAAACCAACAACCACTCGTTACTTTTATTAAACTATTTGATTGACAAAAGGATATGGATGTATATTAACTATATTTTTGGTAAATTTTAACGGAAAATAGCATGGGAATCGTCTGGATATCTGTACTTTGGAAACCAGCGAAGCCAACAGACAAAATTGATTCCTTCAGGGACATCTTTATAGCGCTTATATTTATTACAAAACTTGCATAGCTAAAGCATCACAAATGTACTATAAAACAAAGTCTAACAGTAAGCTATTAAAACCAGTTTTAGATCACTGAAACAAGGGTAGTTGAATTCGGAAACCAAAAGGGCTGTGAAACAACTACAAATATATAATAGTGACCAGAATGTTAAAACCTGCATGTTATTTTGTAACTTTATTTTCAGCCATATTTTTACATCTTTTTTGTTGGTCTAGCTATAATTATTAGATAGATATGATTAATGGTCACTGACAAAAAAAAAAGGAGTGTCAACCGAGGTCTGTAGCCTGAGTTACAGTTGGGGTTTGCCGTCGGCGTCGTATTCATATTTTCATCAATGCACAACAGTGTCGGACAACAGTAAAAATTGTGTACTAGAGTATATAAAGTGATATAAAACCCACAAGATATCAGTTCAGATATTTATTTACTTCTATTTTATTGATCAGAAATATAAAAATTAAATAAATGAATAATAATAAATTAAAAAAGAAAATA